CACCCAGCCTTCTTATTTTGTTTTTATTCAGGACACCTGTTTGTACATAGGTTGAACCTTCTTTAACTATCTTCAGTATTTACTATTTTCTCTTGAATTTGTTTTGTCTTTCAATTTTTTTTAATTTTTAAATTTTTCTCTTTTTGTATTTCTCTTAAGGCATTAATCTGTTATGTTTATGACTCTTTGTTTTTGGGGTTTTTTTGGCCAGAGCTGGGTTTGATCCCGTCACCTCCAGTATGTGAGGCCAGTGCCCTACTCCTTTGAGCCACAGGTATCACCCAACTCTGTTTTTTCTAGTTTAATCTCTTTTGAATTAATTTTTTTTGATTTCTTATTCTTTCTTGAGTTATATCACCTAAGGTCCTGGTAGATAATTCCTGGGGTGGCTGTAATTCTGATATATGTTGATTTTCATATCATCTGTCATTACAGTGTCACCTGTTTTATTGGCAAGTGTTTGTGGTGTGTATTCACTGTCTCCAGTGATTTATTTTATACTTTTTTTCTTATAATGACTTTGTATCAGAGTTTACTTTTATTATTTTATTTTAGTCATTTTTATGCATTATTAGTTTAGCTTTTCTAAATAAACAGAGACCCTTCTCATGTTTTGGTGTAATGTTTAAAAGAAAAGTCACCTTGCTATATGAGATCTTTCAATTTCTTTCTCCTTCCCACTTTTATCTGGAGTTTCTTTTTTCTTTTGTTATTTCCATTTTACCATTTCCCTCGTCCTCTTCAGTGTAGGTCCTGTGCCCAGCAGTTTTTTCTTGGTGTGGCTTTGTTCTATAAGAGGCCTTTGGTTGATGAGTTTTGAAAGTTTGTAGTGACTAGAGTTTTTTGTCCTTCAGTCTTTATTGTGGACACCTGCACTCCTTGCACCCATGTATTGTTGTAGTGGGCAAAACCTATTCTTTCTTTCTTTCTTTTTTTTTTTTTTTACATACTTTCCTTAGTTTTTCCTGCTGTACTCTACAGAGAGTCCCTATTGGTTATTTTGGAGTTTTTCTGTTCAGTGGTCTGGCAAGTGCCCTCTCACTGTCCTCTGCTTCTTCCTACACTGATGCTAACACACACACAGATCTTGTAGCAGTTGGTAGTGTGTCTTCACCTTCTTATATTTTGGGATTTTGTACATGAAGCTTTCCCTGTCTGCTTTTATGAGAGAAGTTGGAGAGATTTAAAATTTAGCTGGTCTCAGAATTCCTTCGAAGTTTTTAATGTTTGAATTTTGTGAACTACTACCCCCTAAATCAGTGGTTCTCAACCTGTGGATCACGACCCTTTTGGGGGTTGAATGACCCTTTCATATGGGTAGCCTAAATATATCCTGCATATCAGATATTTATATTATGATTCATAACAGTAGCAAAATTACAGTTATGAAGTAGCAACAAAAATAATTTTATGGTTAGGGGTCACCACAACATGAGGGACTGTATTAAAGGGTTACAGCATTAGGAAGGTTGAGAACCACTGCCTTGGACCATGTTGATTTCCACTATGATTACATTAAATACAGACTCTAGTTAAAAATTGACTATACAATGTATATTCTTGTTAACAACTAATAGATTGCTGTCTATTTGAGTGTTTTTTCTGTACCATCTACAACTATATTGTTATAAAAACTAAATTTCTTGTGTCTTTGATGACTTCTTAAATACATTAGCTAAAGCCAGGTGTGGCAGCTCATACCTGTATTCCCAGCACTCTGAGAGGTCGAGGCAGGTGGATTGCCTGAGCTCAGGAGTTCGAGACTAGCTTGAGCTAGAGCAAGACCCCATCTCTAAAAATAGCCGGGCGTTGTGGCAGGCGCCTATAATCCCAGCTACACAGGAGGCTGATGCAAGAGAATTGCTTGAGCCCAGGAGTCTGAGATTGCTTTCATCTATGATGCCAGGGCACTCTACCAGGGGTGTCAAAGTGAGACC